AAGTACTTTAAACTGTATAAATTAGTTACCCGGGCAATTGATTTACATCAGCCAATCAGACGAAAGTCCTTCTATGAGGACGTTCTTACTTTCCACAGTCACATGAACATGAACTATAAACTTTAAGCGCATTGTATCAATTTTGCTTGACATTGACTAAGTATTAAAACTGAAGAGCAGCAAATATCATTATTTTATATGTATAATGATAAGCATGATTACGTATAAGCTTAAAAAAACGGGAATTATTTATAAGTGCACAATTCTACGTATATAGTTACTAAAATCTTATCTAAAATCTATTAAATACAAATTGGTTTAAATCGTATTTAATCTTGTCCGAAGAATTAATGGGAATAGTTTAAGTTTACAATATATTAAGGGATAACCTGGCAAATTAATTAACAAACAAATCCTGTTCGCTATTAATACAAAATACATAATTTAGTTATGTTTACAAAAGTATAAAATTAAGTGGACATAATTTGCTTTATGAAGTCTATAAATTATGATAATAACGTGTTAATGGAAGAAAAATTTTAAATTTGAGATTATGTTACTTAATACTGGCATACCTTCATATCTAATGTTACCATTCTTATCAATTTCGACTGTTTTCAATAACTCTTCAACTTCTCCCTCACTAAGTTTTTCGCCTAGACTTGTTAAAACTATATCACGTAAAACAAATAATAATAGGTATTAATACAAAAAAGCGTAAAATATAATATTTGAATAATAAGGATTTTTTAAAAACCAACCATATCTTAATTCACCAGCAGATATGTATCCGCTTCGATCTTTGTCAAGAACTTGAAACCCTTCAACAAATTCTTCATAGGTGGCTGCTGGTGCAAATCCACCAGGGCGTTCAAGAATTGACACAAATTTTTCAAAAGTAACTAAATAGGAGATACATTAATATAAGTAATGAAATAAGTGCATTAATTAAACTTGGGAATAACCATCAATTCTGAATGACAATACACACTATTGCTTCCAGCTTTCTTAGTAAGTTCGAGAACTTCGGCTTGAGAAGGATTTTGTCCTAAAGCACGTAACAAGTCACCTAAAGCTTCGGATGGAATAGTATCATTGCCTTTATTATCGAACAATTTAAAGGCTTGGTAATATTCTGTAATATGGAAACATTTAAGTTGCTTAAAAATATAAAAATCTACGTAACAAGTACAATTAAATGATGAAAAAAACGTATACCTTTTTTTTGTTCTTCCTTTGACTAAAAAAAAGAAAATATATGACAAGTATATGTTCGTTCAGAAGAAATTAGAGATTTCAACACGAATAATCATTTGACTGTTATAATAACAATTCCATTCCACTTACCATTTTTTGGAAGGTTAATATTGAATTGTGTGAATATACATCTATTTTATGTCGAAAATCGGCATGTTACACGAGAATCTAAAGCTATGAAGACTTAGTAAATTAGAAACATATGTAAGAATTTAAGATGTACCGTCAATCAATATACGAACAGTTTTCTGAAGAAGCAGCAAGTATATTTTTTGAGCTTTCAGTTTTGTGTTAAGAAGTAAAAGTATTAAATATAATATTCATTTGTATTCAATGTTTGTTTCGGAATCTCCAAGTTTTGAAACATTATGGACTTGATACTATTGATCCTGAATATTGGGTAGGAGAGAGCGATGTCAGAAACTCCATTAGATATTCTTATGTAGAAGGGCCGAATAGTCAGACTGGTAATGGAGCCAATGTAGGCGTACTAAATGACAGATGGAGTTTGGATGACACTGACCCTCTGGGTCTGAAAAAAAGCGTGCTTTGGTAATTTAATTTTAACATCTGATTTATAAATAAATTTAAAAGCAATGAATCGAATTGAATTGAATAATAAATTAAATAGGCAAGATATGTCGCCTTCAAAGCGTTCCACGCAGGATGTTCTTGATGAAATGCAAGAAAGTAAATATCATTATGAATATTTGTTATAATTTTGTATATAATCTTATTGCCAAATTTATTTGTCAGAGTCACAATTACTGGTCGGCACAAAATCTTTCAACCCCAAGTATTTTTTACGGCAAGTTCACAAAGATGCATCTTATAAAGATTTACTGGGGGGAGCTGAACGTTTAAGATACACATTGGATCAGAAATCTGAAGCACTTCGAAATTTAGTACAAAATAATTTTGATCGATTTGTTAGTGCAAAAAACACGATCGACACTGTATATGGTGAAATGAAAACAAAGAGCTTGAATGTTGATAATGATTATGGAGTAAGAGGATTAGATAATGCGCTCTCTGGTATGGTACCCTCAGTAACATTATTGTTAAAAAATGTTAAAAATGAATCAATCGTCTTTTTTTTTCAATTGACATGATTCAATTATGATAATTCAGAGGCGATAACCAGAGCTGAACAAGTCTTTGGACCGGTTTTGGTAAATAGAAATAAAGCAGAAAAAATACGCAGCACGTTAAGCGTTTTGGAAAAGTACAAATTTTTTTTTAATTTACCTAGTAGTCTTATGGAATCCATTAAACAGGTATAACATATAATATACTAGATTGTAATAATATATGCTATTACCTCACTCAAATATATACATTTGTTTATAGCAAAAGTACGATGTAATAATCAGAGATTATAAAAAGGGAAAAGTGGTTCTAGAATCGACAATGTCATCGGATACATCGGAAGGCAATGGATCTAGTAATCCTTCAACAGAAAAAGAAGTCGACGATACTGCACTTTCAGCGCAATATCGGAAAGTTTTTGATAAAGTTTGGGCTGAGATCGAGAAAATAATGGAAGAGATGAGAGAACAACTCTTCAAACAATTGACAGAACCATGGAGATCGATGGAAGAACAAGAGAGAACTATTAAGTGAGTGGCTAATTTTAAAATAAACTTAGTTTTATACATTCTTTATATGAGATCATTATGTGAAAAAGACCATTCATTTTTATCTCAAATACAGTGTACTTCTTGAACTTGATACGCCTGAAGATCCAATATGGCATTATCTTGATAGTCAATACAAATTTATAATCGATCTTTTAAAAGAATCATTTCAAGAGCAACAAATTAAGATTCAAGGTCAATAATTTGGTAAATTAAATCGTCACATCCTTTTAATTTTGGGTATTTATGAATCGTTTGTGATTATTCATTTAATCAATTAGCATTGAAAAAATCTCTGCCGGTTTCTTCCGGTGATACCAAAGAAATTGCATTACGCCTTAAAATTGCAATAAGGTCTGTCAATATAAGGGATTATGATTCCTTGATAGGTAAGAGTTGGTTAACTATCCTTTATATATTATATCTTATAAACTTATAAGTTTAGAAGAGTGTTGCCCTTCGCTATACAAAATAATCACAAAATAATCAGAAAAATAGTGGACTTTACTTAGA